CGTGGAATACTCATTCTTTCACACTCAGACTCCATCGAACAAGAAACCGCTTCTCCGAACAGATATGCCCGCGGAGCCAAGATCCTGGAAGGAGATGCTTCATTCTGATCACAAAAAGCAGTGGCTAGAAGCAAGCGTCCAGGAGGTCAACACCATTGAAAATATGGACACAATCGAGCAAGTCCCCTTCGAATCGGTCGACCAGGAAATACACAAGGTTCTCGGGTTGACCTGGGTCTGGAAATACAAGGTTGACTCCACCGGCTACGTGACCAAGTTCAAGGCCAGGCTCTGCGTACGAGGAGACCAACAGCCCAAGAATGAGATGGAAACATACGCGTCGACACTGGCAGCCAAGACGTTCAGAACGTTGATGGCCATCTGTGCAGAGTTTGACCTAGACACGCACCAGTTGGATGCCGTCAACGCCTTTCCAAATGCACACCTCGACGAGACAGTCTACGTCTGGGCCCCTCAGGGCTGGGATCTCATGCAGGAGATGCAACAGAAGAAGGGCGCTCCACAGAGGCGCACGATTTTCAAGCTGAAGAGAGCTTTGTACGGTTTGCGCCGATCACCGCTTCTCTGGCACAAGCTGCTGTCCGAGGCTATGCGGAAGATCGGCCTCGTGGCTCTCGAGGAAGATAACTGTGTCTTCATGGGCAGAGGCATGATCATGTTCTTCTACGTTGACGACATCATCCTCATGAACCGCAAAGAGGATCGCCAAGCGGCCGAAGAGCTGAAGAGCCAGCTCAAGTCTCTGTTCGAGATGCGAGAACTTGGCGAGGTCAGATGGTTCTTAGGCATCAGAGTGGTCAGAGATCGTAGCCAGCGCAAGCTCTGGCTGTCTCTGGAGAACTACATCACTGAAAAGATGAAGGACCTCAACCTCCAGCCATCCACCAGAGGTCATTTGACGCCTCTATCAACAGACCCAGCACCTGCTCCAAAGGATTACGAAGCCTCTGCTGAATCCATTCAACTATACCAACGCAAAATTGGTTCCATCAATTACGCAGCAACCACAACACGACCTGATGTGGCCAAAGCTGCCTCAAGACTTGCGGAGTCTCTGCTCAGGCCGACAGAACTCCATCACCTTGCAGCAGACCACTGTCTCCGCTACCTCTATCGCACAAGGGCTCTCTCGCTGTCCTACGGAGGATCAGGAGACCATTCTACATCGCTGTATTGTGCGAGCGACGCATCATTCGGCGATGATCCCATCACCAGATTTAGCTCACAAGGATACACCACCATGCTCTTTGGAGGTCCAATTGACTGGAAAGCTACAAAGCAGCGATCCGTGGTCACTTCTAGCACCGAAGCTGAGCTGGTGGCCCTCAGTGTCGCAGCGAGGAACTACCTTGCCACTCTTCGTCTGATCAAGGAGCTTCAGCTACGTTTTCATGGCAAGGTTCCGATCCAGATGTTCTGTGATAACCGCCAAACGCTGCTGTTACTCACTAGTGAGAGGCCTCAAGCCACTACGAAGCTCAAGCATGTTGACATCCATCGTCTTTGGATCCGACAAACAGTCAGACAGGGGAAGATATCCGTGGACTGGATGAGCACTGACAAGATAGTGAGCGATGGGCTTACAAAGATTCTCCCGACTCAGAAGCATCAGAACTTCGTGAAGCTTCTGCAGATGGAGTGCGTACCAGCGGTCCACCAGTGAACAGCTTGCTCAATTTCGCCCACCTCTCCTAACACTTACACACATCCTTATTTGCTTCACAAGCACGATTTCCTTCATCTGCCCTGAGAACGCCAACTGTTCCAAAGGCACCAAATTCTCTACCAAAAGCCGCCAACAGGCATCTGCCTGATCTTTCGTGGTTCAGATGGTCAGAGAGAGGCTCGCCTACCCATCTGAGGGGGTGTGTTGCCGATCAGGCAAGGTTCTGTTCTGTGACCCAGGAGTACTTTCATCCCAAATGTGGAGTCCTCATTTGATGCATTTGTTCTGTCGTTATCGCCCCGGTAAGACTCCTTACCGATGCTGGATCTGACCAATTACCTTCGTTTGGACTTCTGGAAGTCTCCTTTTGTACCTTAACAACAATCAATCCACTTTGTTCAATTCCGTGGTGACAGGTGGCGTAGGAGTACGGGACTGGAAAATGCAATGCAATAGGGGTATTCGTCTAGCGAGGGCATGTAGTACTAAAGGCTTAGTAGATATCTATTTTTCATCTTCTACTATTTTTAACTAATATAATAACTAACTTAAACCCCTATTACTTATATAATTTCTCTCTTAGTATTATTTTTAGTTCTTATTAATTCCTATTTCTAATAGCTATAATAGGGCCTCTAATTAGTTCTAACCTAATTACTTACTTGATTTTCACTCTTTATAAATATATTATTATTTATTATAATATTACCTTATTAAAGGGTATAGGAGTTATAGAAGTTAGAGTCTTATAACTACTCTAATAGCTAGAATAAAAGCTATTAATATATATCGTAATCGATATAGGAGGTAGAAGGCAACGACTAAGGGTATAGCTTAATTATAGAATAAAGAGATAATAATAGATAAGAGGAAGGGAGAGATAAAAGTAGCTATATCTCTAGAAGGAGATGTCGGGTCGAGAAATAGATCGAAGATTCTTATAGCCCTTAATAAGAGCTATAAAATAGTATATTTTTCGTTTAGATCGAAGGTAAATAGGTAGAGGGGTAATTAAGAAGAAGGTTATAATTAATTAAGAGAAATACTTAAATTAATCCTAATAGGAGTAAAGCGTATCTTAGAAGGTATCTATTCTTAATAGTTTAGAACGTATAAATTAGATAGGAATTACTATATAAAGGGGACTTACGAGTATTATTAGAATTAGATAATTATTAAGATCTAAAAACCTAAAAAATAGATCTAAGGGGTGCCCTCTATATATAATAGACTAACCCTTAATAGCTATACGTGGATAAGGCGCTTAGACTACCTCTAGACCTACGGGGGGAGTAGAGTCGGATTTTAAGCTCTAGCTAATAGGGTAAAAGAGAACTTAAACGCTTATTACTATAGAACGGCTCTATAGAATATTATAAAAATTATACTATTCTATAGCTATAATTTCTCTCTATTCTATAATATATATATCGTTATAGCTTAGCCTTTATTTAAGCTACTAGAGTAGTTATAAGACTCTAACCCTTATAACTCCTATAGTTTCCCCCCTTCTTTTTATAATTAATATTACTATTCTAGTAATAACTACCTCTAATAATAGCTATTATAAGCTCCCTCCTTAATTATTAGAGACTACTATATAACCTATTATTATAATTAGTCTTCTCTCTATAGCTAATCCTATATCTATACCCTCTTTCTTTATCCGAGCTACTACTATACTATAACTATAGCTATTACCCTCTATTATTAACTTAGTTTCCTTAAGAGTTAAATAAACGTTATAGTTTAATTAATAGGATTATATACCTAATAATAGTTACTAATACTAGCTTTTCTTCCTTCTTCTTCTTTCTTATTACTTAGGATATATTCAGAAGACTATATATCTAGAGAACTAAAGCTATTACCCTCTAAGTAATTAAATTAATATAAATAGAGTACTATATATATTAAAAAAAAGAAAATAGGTAGTATTATATAGGTTGAGGCCGTGGGCGGCCTAGTGGAAGATAGTCATTTAGGAGTATAGGACTGAAAAATGCAATATAATGAGGGTATTCGTCTAGCGAGGGCATATAGCACTAAAGGTTCACTAGATATCCATTTTTCGTCTTCCACTATTTTTAACTAATATAATAACTAACTTAAACCCCTATTACTTACCTAACCCGTTGATTCCTATTTCTGCCTAACCTTCGTATAGATAAGATAAGGATATATCTTATTATTACGTAATCATAGCCTTGCCTAGTTTCTTCAAATTTCTTACCTGATAGACTAGGCATAATGTGAGCGGGGTAAGCTAAAGATATAAAACGCTTCCTCGATTTGCCTCGTTTACTACTTTTCACACTAAAGCAGAGCTTCCCTCCTCCCAAAGTGTGCACTGTGTACTACGCTACTAAGGGCCTGATCGGTATACGTTTACAAACGCAAACGTCTATAGAATCGGTACAATAGATGCTAAGGCACTAGCAGAAGTACTATAGGGATAGGAGATATATCGCGTAAGAGCTTCTACTCGACTAACTAATATCGGGTATAGGATACGTAGTAGCCGCGCCTTATCTATTCGACGAGCTTACGGAATTCAGGCTTCGTAACGCGGAATAGCTCTATATAAAGACGTTATCTAAGCCCTCGAGTAGCTTCTATATAAAATCCCTCGCGCTATCGGGCCCATCGTAATAGCTCTCTTTACCGCCCATTCGCTCATTCTAATTATCGTTCTAGTCGTTTAATAGGTCCTCGAGAAGAATCCTAACAGCCGCTACAATAACAGGGCGCTCGCTATCGTGTTCTTCCATCCCCTTCAATAGTCGTACAGATTCTAACTAAGCTATAGAATCAGAAGATTTAGAGTTACAAAGCCAGGTACGTCGTTTATAGGAATTCAGCTCTATTATCAACAACGCTAAGTATAGGGGGCTTAGTCGCTAAGAGAATATGCCCCTATCTAGTATAGTACCTATTGAATAGGGGGGTGACTCTACACATCTCCAGGAAGTCTCTTAGCCGAGTTATATAGCTAAATCTACTACCCGAAGTAGTATAGTTACTTCTGGAAAATGCGGAACTACTCTTTTTAGCTCCTGTTGACCCACATTCTATAGACGTTTGCATTTGCAAACGTACGCCGATCAGGCCCTAATAAGCTTTACTCTTGCGGCGATCGCGTTGAAGAAGACGTGAACGTCGATGGCTGCGGCGATACGTCATAGCTAAACCACGAGGTCAAAAGAGTGCTGTTCGGTTCGCGAAAGGAGGGTTCGAAATGTGGCAAGCCTAATTGCAGAAATCCCTGAGGCAAGCTAAGGTAGCTAACTACCTTGACTGATCCATAACTTCATTAACACGAAGGCTTTCTGTAGCTCGGATAGCCCGTCGTCAATTATATGGAGATCACACTGAGCTGCTAGAAAGCAACCTGATACATTGTTCTTTATACTTCAACTTGCTTGCTTCTGTTACGATCTCTTCTGCACTGACAAATCGTCTTGTCCAACAACCAAGGATTATGTCTTGTCCAAACACTCCTTCCATAGCTGGATAGATACCTTGACTAAACTTATCGTCCACAAGCGAACCATACTCGTCCATCTCCTCTAGTGTTTCGAAGTGAGCACAACTCTGGCGAAACGGCCAATGTCCCACAACAACGGTGTAGAGGATAGACCCAAGACTGAAAATATCGACATCGGGAGTCGGCGTCCAAGGCAGCCTAGGGTTGAAGAAACCGGCGTCAGGCAGTTGATTACCGATGATCTCAAGATCACGACACGTTGACCCGCCAAAGTCGCAGAGCTGCAAGTCGGAAGATTCCAGTAATGGACCATGTACGAGAAAATTGTCGGGACGCAGATCACTGTGTATGATGCCTCGGCTGTGTATGTACTCGATCGCACGGATAGCTTGATGGAACCAGCGTCTTCTCAGCGCCAGAGATATAGTTGCGTCGTGTTCGTGTAGGACGCGCTGTAGGCTGCCCTGGCTAGCCTCCGCAAACAGCAGCCCCGTTGGAAATTCCGGTCTCCATCCTAGATAGCTTTAACCTCTGTTAGCATCGACATAACCAGGGCATAAGGATGGCATACCCGATGATTAGTGGATGGCGTCCCAATCTTTCCAAGATCAACCGTTCATTTTGAAATTTCCCGGATACGTCCGACTGAGGCTGGATGGTTTGATCTTGCAAGACCCTGACTGGGGCTTTCAGGATGATATTGGGCTGTACTTGGAAGAAGACGGCCGTGGAGCCGCCAAATGAACTGCCAGGAAGCTTCGATAATTGGAAATCGGTGTTTGGGATCAGACCGCGAAATGCCCTAGCAAGAGCTTGATAGGCCCTGTTTGCGAAGTATCGGACCACCTCCCACAATTGAGGAATGATGCCTTGCGAGTAGACCATCGCGTGTGCCCTGGTGGAGGGAGTCGATCGTTTGGGCAGCGCGAACAGGTTGCTGAATTTGCGCGGGCATTCGTTCGAGCGCGCTGACGCACGGACCATCAATGTAGGTACCTCATGTGGGATGGAGGTAGACCCCACAGGGCCCATCAAGCATCTCCGTCGCCATTGATCACGTTGTCCATGAATGAGGTTTAATCAGATGATATGCTGCTTTATATCTTCCTTCTTACGCACATCAGCTCATAAGGCTGACTTAGACCCTAATCCTCCTGATAGTCTTCTGCCGATGCGCATGGTTCTGACTGTTTAGTCGACGGTAGGTCCTTTGGGGTAAAGACCTGAGGGATGGGGTATAGTCGAACCTGGATGTGATGTTAGATTTATTACAAAACCGCTGTCGAACACTTACCTGGTCTATCTTGCTGGGGGGGAATGATGCGTCTCCTAGCATGGTAATGTTAGATTTATTACAAAACCGCTGTCGAATACTTACCTGGTCTATCTTGCTGGGGGGGAATGATGCGTCTCCTAGCATGGTATCATACACCCACGATTTGCCGTTCAGCTCCATGTAGACATACACCCTAACTTGACAGTCTTTATGAAGCTGGTCGGCTTTCCTGATAATCGTGCGGCGTCGCTTTAGAAACTTGGTATATCTGAGCTTCGCATGGTGTCTGCGGGACTCGAGTGGACTGCGAGAGGCTGGCATTGTAGTGGTGCTTGGGGGTCTGTTGCCGGCCGTTGCTCCATTCGCTCTGGAAGTAGTGGGTGGGGGAAAATGAAGGTTAAGTATTATTGGGCATATAGGAAACGGTAAACCGTTAACCGAAGACTGCTCCAGCACAGCACCCGACAGTCACTCATGAGGCACACTAGCACAGCGAGGACACAGCGAGGACACAGTAAGGTAAGGAGAATTGCGATCAACTAGACCTAGGTCTGAAATTCGCCTCAAGATTTACGAGCGCGAAGCGCTTACAACTCGGCCTTTCGTCATCACAGACATCGCCAGGAGAACGACGCTTCCTCGGCCAACGCCGATCCCCTAACCGTGCGAGATCACCGCCTAGCAGACTATCCTAGCTATGACAATCTCGTGCGTGCTATAGCTACTCACGCTAGTCCTTAATAAGAACTAACTTCTGCCCTTCCCGCGAATATTCAGGGCACGCGATTCCCTCCTTAAGGCTCGCGAATTCAGGGACATGGCGTGCAGTGATATGCCTCGAGAAAACATTCCCCGGAAAGAATGAAAGGTTGCATAATAAACATCTAGCTTTAGTCTAAGCTAGGGCGATAGCAGCATCTAGGGGGTTGTTCGCTAGCTTCGAAGGTTTAGTGCTAGTCTTAATATATAGTGCGTGGATCTTATCGTGTGCCGCCTCTATATAATAGCTCCAGCCAGCAGGGCAATCGATCGTCGTCGGCGGCATTCCTAGTCGAGCATATTCGGGGCATTAGAAAGGGCGATTAAAGGTGATCTTGTCGATGTGTTGTTTTATAGTGTGCCGGGTGAGGTTGGGCCGCGTTGAGAAGTCGTTATTCCACAAAAGACACTTGCTGGGCTTCGCGGTTAAGGACGACAAGTCGTCGACCTCTGACGGTGTGTCGACCTTCGAAGGCGCGCCACCCTTTGAAGGTGTGCCGTGAGAAGACGCTTCGGATCCTGGGACCTGTGCAAAGTGTCCAAACAAGTACTAGACTAAGAGGCCGGCGATCGTTACTAGTTTGTTCCGATGATCGTTCTCGCACGTTATCCGGCGGCCAATTATTACCGTAGCATCCGAGCTAGCCAGGTAATATCTTTTTCTAGACTGCTCGTTACGCTTCGTAGGCTAATATATTATCGGAAGCCCGAGAGCTATATAGCGGTCGCGTTAGTCGAAGAACTCCTACCGGGCCCTTTCCACCTCTTATACCGATAGCTGATCCCGGATTAATTATATCTTTCTAGTTAAGCTTTTCACCTATAGCTTATCTACTAATAAAGTCTCCTAAAGGAGTCGACGTTGTTCTCGGAGTTCTATAATATCGCGTCGATTATCCTAAGAATTAATAGCCTCCTATAAAGGGTATATAGGGGCCCTTTCGTCCCGCGAAAGGGTAGCTCGGCCTAAGAGAGCGAAAAGTTCATCTTATACCTCATTAACTGCCTTAAACGCTTTATAGGCAAGGTTCACGCTAATATAGGGCGGTTAATAGCTATATTCGTAAACGTCCGTCTTATACGAGAGGATATAATTACGGAGAGCGCTGCTTAGTACGTCTAGGTTAAATACCGTTAATAAATATTCTAATTAAGAGCTTAGATAGATAAACCGGTAAATCGTGTACCTGTACCTATACGCAGCGATCTAGGCCATATTAGGTCTCGGTAGCTAGCGATAAGAACTAGCCGGTTCTAGAGGTCCTAAAACCGGTAGTATTTAATAGGAATAATAGGCTTATCTAGTATCTCCTTCTTCTAGCGAAGGGGTACGTATTCCGTCTATTAAAGGGCCGGCCGAGATAGTAGCTCCTTATAGGAGCCGAAAGATAGGTCGAAGGCATCATCGGCCAGGGCTCGCGCTATAAGCAGGGACATAAGGTTAAGCTAGGGGCATAGAATGATTAGGATAGTCTAGGAAATCCTACACGAGGGATATTAGCAATAGAGGGTAGAGAGATAGTAGTGTTACGACCTGGCAGCTTCCGAAGGGGGAACACTGTCAGAGGGTTGGGGTTGCTGTTTGCAGAAGCTTAGGTTGTGACTCTGAGACGATGTGGTGTCGTAAGGCGTTGCGCACTCGTTACAATGAATACAAGGTAAGACTTAGATTGATCACTGTCGTGAGAAAGAATGTATCTACAAGTCCAGAATGTCCGTCCTTATATACCTGCCATCCTGTCCTTGTTGTGTTAGGTGGTGAGCTCATGTTGGATGGCTCACTGGTTAGTTGTTGGTGATCCATGATGTTAGGATCACGGTGTGTTATCCCGTGAGCCATTCCCTGGCTCACTGCGGCGTCCTTGGTGAGCCCGACGACTCACCCTTTATGTCTGAGTGAGCCATCACGTGATTTGCCAGGTGGGCCCGATTCTTATCTTATCGCGCTCCCTGATCGCGGGGTCGTCGATTCGCGGCCGCCCTGCTTCCTTGGTTGTTACACCACAATAGCTCGTCCTCAGCTCTACACCCGAATCGATTGAGTATTATTTAGTGGAAAACTCTACCTTAAACCACTCCTTTACGATAAACGTTATTCCTACTAGAACGGCCCGACTACTCGACGATATTAAGCTATAATAGCTCGTCCTCAGCTCTATACCCGTTAGCTCTATACCCGAATCGACCGCCTAGTCGGCGAATCGAACCTCCGCTCCTAGCAATTCAATATCATCAATCTACTAGAACGAGAACGCTATCTTCAATTCCTTTATTCGTTAATCCGGGAGATTGCATTTTTAGAGTGCCAGGAATGGGAAAGAGGCCTATTACGAGGTGCCCACGGGGACTCTGGCAGACCTGACAGCTGCTACGCCTTGGATGGTGCCTGTGGGGGGGTGTTGGTGGTATTCGCCTGGGGCTTGGTCACCTGATGCCAGGTGGCCTGTGCCCTGGCACCTCCCATAGCTTAGTTCCAGGCACCCTCCTGCCCTAGAGAATAGCTTCCCAATACAATACCTTTCCCTTAGACCTCCAATATTAATTAGCTATATATCTTATTGAGACCTAGAGATACCTAGGTCCTATTACCTGTTTAGGCTTATGTTCTCTTAGGTAGTAGAGTTATAGGTTTTAGGCGGGTTTGGGTTCTTATACTAAGTCTCTAGGTACCTAATGGGTTAAAATCTTTAGATATTTCTAAGCCTAAGCTTATTTTCATTCCGTTGGAATGAACCATTCGAAGAGCAAGAGCTAAGAATCTAAGTTCCATATGTGTTGCACAAGTAGCTGTATTAGAAGATACCATCGAGCACACTACTATTATGCCGGATGCCATTCCTTCAACCTCTTTCCGATATCCCCAACCTTCCTGGCCGCCACCAAATATGATTTCAGTCCGTCCATCACTTCCAAGCGTGGAAGGCACGGCCGCATCAAACACTTGCTAGCAAGGAAATGGAAACTCGGCTTGATGCGCAGAATCCCCCTGGAACTCTATGATTTAATAGCGGCGTATCTTGTTCGGGAACTTTCTACCGTCGTATATCAAAAGCTTGCCTGAGATGTTCGCCCGTCTGACTTAGTCGTCAACCTTTCTCCAAATGTTTATGCGACATGCATGAAACTCGAGGGGGCCGTGTACCTTTAAACCTTGAGCAATGCTCCGCAAGCATGAGAGGGAATGAGAGTCTTCGATGCTGGACAAGGCCATCCCATTCAAAACATCTACGTCGGATATGCACCTTGGCCAGCGCTGCAATTCAAACAATCAAATCAATTCTTAGGGTCTGATTTATTGATTTAGTCTATCGGAAAGGTCGGATTTACTGAATAAAATTGATTTATAAGATATCTAGATATCGAAATATTAGTTAATAAAATAAAGCATTTATAGGATTACTAAGTAATTATAAAGGGAGTATAAGCTTTAGAGCTTTAGAGTAATTGTAAGCGTTTAAGATAGTTTTTAGGGATTAGCGATTTTATACTCTAAACTCTCAGGGGATAACTTAGTAGCCTTAGCTATAATCCCTTAAAGTAAGAAGATTACTTAATAGATTACGTACCTACTATATATAGAAATAGCTATAGCTCTAGTATAGCTAGTAATAGAGTCGGGTCTTAGAGACTAGGTAGGCATTATAATAGAAATATACGATAGAAGCTTTATAGCTCTTCTATAGGTATAAGATATATGAATTATAACTATCTAGGTAGGTGGGCTGCGTAGGCTTATATAGATCCTAGTGGGCAGGGGCCTATATGTCAGGCTATATGCCCAAGGCAGTTAGGCCTTAGGCCAGCCCTTTGGCCAGGCCATAGGCAGGGCCATAGGCCTCAGGCAGGGCCACAGTCCAGGCCACGTGCCAGGCCATAGGCGGCCTGAAGGCACGGCCACACTGCAGGCCTTCCATTCCATTCATATCACTAGAGCCGGGATAATCTATTATTCCGAGCCAATTAATCAAATCAATTCAGGTACTACGACTTAGCTGATTGGTCCGTTAAATCGGAGTAATCTGATTGGTTGAGTAATTGAATTTGGCCCACAGAATTGCTCTAATTGCAGCGCTGACCTTGGCATCCGAAGCATTTGCTTTGTGTTACCCGGTCACGACGTGGTACAGTCCCTAAACAATTGCTCCGCAGTATGGTGGACAGGACTCACTCGAAAAGATGGCATTCTAAGTATTATGACAAGGTCGGATGTGAGTATGACACGGTCCATCTTTGCGACGGTATAAGTTCCAACAAGCACATCGCGGACGGGCTTGGAAGTCAGAGCACTCATGGACGCTACAGACTCCCTTTCTGCAAGGAACAACATAGTTCTCAAGCCAGGATGGCCGACACCTGGACCGGACTACAGGTTGATCGACCCGGATACATGCGACTGGGCTATGAGAACGCCCGAAAGACTGCGGATGAGCTCGTTCAATTGCAATAAGCCCACGACACATGGCTACACCGTCGCCATCAATGGGCTGCACACAGCGAAGTTATACGCCCATCACTCTGGCGCCAGCGGGAGCGACTATGGAGATGCGGATACTATCTCTAGCCATACGCTGTGGATGTACATGCCTGTCGAACAGGGCGAGTGCCTCAAGGAGATTTGGGCTATCAAAACTTCCGCCTCTGGAACAGTAGCATTGATGGTGAGGCAGGGAGCCATATTATACACCGAGTAACCTGGTCTAACGACGCTCATTTAGTTCCTCACCAGCCACGAACGAGGCTTCATCTTCGGGGTGTATTATTTTACATCCCGGCATCAACTTCAGTCTCACTGCACTTACGCAACAACAAATGGCTCTGAGCTGCTGGTTGTTCGAGAATCGCATTCATGGCGGACTTTCGAAGCCGTTCTGTCGCTATCGAGTTTATTGCGATCCGACTTTGAAGTCTTCTTCGATAAAGACATTGGTCCGGTGACCGGTGACTTGCTCCTGTGGAGTCATCCCTGATGTGCTGATAAGCGTGGTGTGGAGGACGTAGTCTGGGGGAAGAGCCTGACCCGTCGGCTGGTGTCGCTAGAGATCTGAACCGGCAGTCTGGCGCGTGACACCGGGTAGCATCGGCGGCCAAGCAAAACACTTGGACTTTTATGAATTTTTGATGATCTATTCATCACGGGCCCTGTCGGCCTCCTGGCGCTATCGGTCTTGTTCAGACGTGGGCTCGGGGTTGGATCTTGAGTCACGCCCACTCATGTGTTGGGTCACGTAGTAGAATCCAGTTCTTAGCTTAGTGGCTTGTGATTCTGATACTCCCCATCTTTGCATTTGAGAACCTCAATTCAAGAACCCCAACAAAAGTCGACTGCATCGTGTCGTCCACTATTATGTTCTCGGCGCGGCGTCGCATCTCGACAGTCATGAGGTCCCGACACGAGGCATCGAACGAGGCCCCGCTATCTGGCAGTGGGAGGCCAGATGCATCCCGGGATGCAGCTCACAGGGATGAGTCTCAAGTTCATCCCCCCCAATTCGGAGAAACCTCGGGGGGGGTAATGGCATGCACAATTCAATGTGCACGGGCCCTATGCAGTATATACAGTATATCTTGAAAAGTTAATATTCTAAGAAATAATAGATTTTAAATAGATTTTAATTATATATATATAGCATATACTTAGCATATACTCAGTATATGCTTAGTATATACCCTAGAGAGCTAGATTCCTAAGGTAGATTAAGTATATACTTAGTATATATTGAGCATATGCTCTAGAGAGCTAGATTCCTAAGGTAAGTTAGGCATATGCTTAGTATATGCTTAGTATATACTATAGAGAGCTAGCTTTCTAAGGTAAATAAGGTAAATACCTAATATATACCTAGGATATATCTTAGAGAGCTAGATCCTTAAAATATATATACTTTTAGAATTAAGTCTTTAAGGTAAATAGGTTAAGTATATACCTAAGTTACCTTAGGAAGCTAGCTCTCTAGGGTATATACTAAGTATATACTAAGTATATACCTAACTTACCTTAGGAATCTAGCTCTCTAGGGCATATGCTAAGCATATACTAAGCATATACCTAACTTACCTTAAGAATCTAGCTCTCTAGGGTATATACTAAGCATATGCTAAGCATATGCCTAACTTACCTTAGGAATCTAGCTCTCTAGGGCATATGCTAAGCATATACTAAGTATATACTAAGCATATACCTTATATATAATTAAAATCTATTTAAAATCTATTATTTCTTTAATATATACTTTTTGACTCTAAAACATAGGCATAGTATATAATTATATTTGCACTGTGGAGTTATGAAATTGCTCTAAAATTATGCTAACTACCCCCCCCCCCCCCCCCGAGGTTTCTCCGAATTGGGGGGGGTGAACTTGAGTCTCACCCCTGTCAGCTGTAAACTCGATGCATCCTCTGCTGGGAGTGGAGCTGGGTGGGTCACATGTACAGTCCCTGGACAGTAGAACAGGGGAGTTGCCAAGGACCCAAAGGATGTAGCCAAGACGGCAAGCAGGCTGGACGGGCGATCGGGGGCCGGATCCACGGTATTCAGTCGTCTTAGCATCCGATGCTTCCTTCACCGGATGGCGATTCTTCGTTGAGCAAACGAATTCCGCTTCACGCTTCGCGCTCGTCAGAGGACGACGAACTCATGGAACAGGAGGAAGGTAACAATAAGCTCAAGAATACAGTAAGAGCTAGCGCCATCAGTGTGGCACTCAATTTCGGGGCAGCCAAACCTTATAACGCGCCGTCTGACTCGCCTGAGAGGACGCCACCAGCAAAGCCGTTGGTCCTTGTGCCTGTTTTGCTGTTCGGGTTCCGCCACGAGCTTTCAATCAAGGTTTGGGATCTCCTCACTGGCGTCTACCTTGCTTTCACTGCAGTCGCTGCACTGCACGCTTTGTCTGGTCCGTCCGACGAAGACCTCAGGCGAGATATCCAATCGTCGACGGCGAGACCGATCCTTCGTGAGAATCAGCATCGTGCCAGTTCATCTGAAAAAGAAGAAAAACGTCTCGGCAACACGGCACTGGACTTTGCCCCTCACAAATGGCCGGCGCCCCGGCTCGTTCTTCTCGAGCTTCCACATTGATTCTAGCTCCCCCCTCTCCGCAATGATGGCACTCTGTCGATCGGGCAAGCTGTAAGCCCCGGCCTGGTTCGTAATCAGCCGTCAGGCCTATATCGTATCGCTGGTTGGCGGACAGAGGTTCAATGGGCTGCAAATGACCCTGATGGGCCTAAGCAGGGGCCTAGCAGGGGGCACCAGTCATCGTCATGCCAAGCCTTTACTGTCCTTCCCGTTACGGCAGCCACCCGCACACCGGCTTGGTGGGTGAACCGCACTACACATGGGGCCGTTGCTCAGTGGTGGCTATCACGCAATGGTGAACACAACGGGCGAGCTTTGTGCTGAGCACCTCGGTCGGGGTATCGTTCTGAGCACCAGAGAACCGCCGAGCCAGCCCAAGTCAGCGAACACGGCGATCCAGACCACCCCCCCCCCCCCCCTTCCGAGGCAACCCGGTGGGATTGGGTTCCATCGAAGGCAGGTAGAACTGGATACCATGGGAATCCTCCGTGTGGGTGGCGCCTGCCGGTTCGCGGGCGTGCTGTTCCCAGCCGGCGCTTGCCCCTCCCTGGTTGCCAGTCGCATTGGTGCCTGCCATGGCCATTGTTGTTACCTATCGAGCTGTCTAGCTACCTACCTACCCTACCTAAGGTAGGTAGGTAGGCAGGCAGGTGCAGGGAGGGGCGTTCGGGGGCAATTGCGACAGGAGCAGCAGGGGCATCACTTGCCTGAACAGAACATAAATACAACATTCGCACTCCCACCTTTATGGACGGCCTCTCTTGCTCTCCTCCTCCAGCCCCAAGCCATTGCCCGATCCCAGGCCATTGGATTCCCTTTCCCTGCCTTGCCACGTCGCCCGACACCTCCCGCTCGCTCCTCTGGTCATCCACTACAAGCTATGCGCTTCAACACCCTCGCCGGTGCGGCTCTGGCCGCCACCTCGGCCGTCATGGCCAAGGAGTTGCCCAAGAACGAGGAGCTGGCCGCCGAGCTCTACGACTCGGGCGTCATCCACGAGCAGATGATGGCCAGAAAGATGGCCCACTGGACCGCCGAGTTTGAGGCCGGTCTGCTGCAGTCTTCCAAGTGGCCCCGCCTCAATTACACCAAGTGTGTCAACGGCTACGCCGAGGCTATCAAGGGTGACCCTCTGCACAAGTTCAAGTGCAAGAACGTAAGTTCCTTATCTTCCAATCGGTTCCGCTGTTCACGCGTGCTGATAATGGCAGATCGACCTGTACGACTTCATCAACCACAGCGAGCTTGGATCACCCAACTCGGACGCCTCTTTCCGTACCGGCTCCTCCGCCTGGGGTTGGACCGACCCCGAGTCCGGCCGTGAATTCGTCACGAGCGGCATGTACGACGGCGCTGCCTTCCTCGAGGTTCTCCCCGAGGGCCGTCTCCTACACCTCGGCTTCCTGCCGTCATATGCCCCCACCGGCCCCCGATCTCTGTGGAAGGAGATTCGCTCGTACAAGAACTACATGCTCATCGGATCCGAGCTGGAGGGTCACGGTATCCAGATCTTTGACATGCGCAAGGTAAGCTCCTAGCTTGATACACTCTCTGCGGCAGTATCGTACTAATAGACGCAGCTCCTCACCATCAAGGCCTCTGACGCCCCCGTGCGCTTCTCCAACGACAAGGATCTCACGGGTCACTTCGCCGACCTCCCCGTGGGCCGCAGCCACAACGTCGTGATCAACGAAGAGGCGAACTACGGTGTCGCCGTCGGTGCCGCGCCCCGCAACGGTACCTGTCAGGCCGGTCTCATCTTCTTCGACCTTACCGACCCGTCCAAGCCCACGAGGCTTGGTTGCAACGGCGAGGACGGCTACGTCCACGACGCCCACTGCCTCATCTACCGTGGTCCCCACAAGAAGTACGAGGGGCGCGACATCTGCTACGGCTACAACGAGGACACCCTCACCATCTACGACGTCACCGACAAGGCAAACTCCAAGATCATCTCCATTACCTCGTACGAGGGCGCTACCTACACCCACCAGGGTTGGGTTCTGGATGTGAACAACCAGGAGTACCTGTTCCTTGACGACGAGATTGACGAGGTACCTTTATTTCACTCTTTCTACTCAAGAATTCGTGCTAACTCTTTTACAGGAGGAGAGTGCTGGCCCCGCTGCTGACGGCTACCCTGTCACTTACATCTTCGACATCCGCGATCTCGAGCACCCCAAGCAGACCGGCCTGTACAAGGCTGCTGTCCGCGGCATCGACCACAACCAGTATATCCGCGACGGCCTGAACTTCCAGTCCAACTATGGTGCCGGCGTCCGCGTCTACGATGTCAGCTCCGTGCCTGAGGACCCCACCGGTGACTCGGTCTGCGAGGTTGCTTTCCTCGACATCTACCCTGAGGACGACAACGAGCCCGGCGGTGGTATCGTTCAATATTCGGGTACCTGGGCCTCGTACGCGCAATTCGACTCGGGCTACATCTTCATCAACACAATCGAGCGCGGCGCCTTCCTCGCCAAGCTGACCAAGCGCGAGAGGTGCAAGCCCAAGAGCTGCAACGCCGACAACTGTCTCCGTGCCCTCCGCTCTAGCTCGGTCAAGGGCCGTCTCGAGGAGAGCCAGGAGTTCTGCGCCGGCTTCCTCGATGGCTGGAATGCCCAGGTCACTGCTGTTCCTGAGTACGCCCAGAAGGCGTGCCCTACCAACGTCATCTCGCGTGTCAGCTCGGCGTGCTCGTGCCTGCCCACCGCGGCCCCCACGACGGCTTAGACAGTTGAAGTGGCAACTGACACTTCTACTTTGGTGTCCTGGGATAAGTATTCTAAACTGATTAGCGGACCTGGTGATACTGCCGGCGTTTCGTCCATCATGTCCCTTCCGACCGCCGAGTGCGAGGCCCTTTGAAGTGCTTTGTGGGAAATATGAAAATGAACGTTGGATGTCGCCCATGATACAACGCCTTGGATTGTCATGGCAATTTATGGCTAACCCATTCTGTCGATAGTGTAATGAATAATGAATACGATATGTCAAGGACGCCAAGCATGTAGTTGTATGCAGCTCACCCAATGAAGCTTCCAACCACGCTGGGCATCAGATAGCATGAATTCGAAGAGAAGTCGAAGAAAGGATGTCCTCGTCCCCAGCACCGAACGGAGACTTGAGGAGCTCATTTTCAGATGCTTTCCTGTCAGGCAACTCCCCAGAATCAGGGACAAACCCCGAAAGCCTACGCCATGCAGGGTTCTCGTAAGAATGCAACCTAAGGCCGCCCTTCGACCACCAGAGCTCATCCTGCTGCAGGACGGCACGGCGTCAATCCCGCCAGCTTTCTGCACCCCTCCTCCGCCAAGACGCGGCATGTCGCCGCCATTGGGCCGCTCCCCTGGCGGGCCACACCCCGCCGAGGCTGAGATGCGTCAGGCCATATTAATCACGGCCTCCTGGCGCAGGACGGGGCAGACTACTTTTCCTCGTATTCCACCGTTCTTGCTGCTTCGGATGAGGGGTAATACTGCGGTTGAAGATGATTACGGGAGGTGTAAAGCTTGGAATCAGGAGGTTTATGCAGTAGTTTGCTGACAATAGCCGAATCCTTGCAGGACCAGCGCGGGCTGAAGTGTTTTCATGTGAGGCAGATTCAGCACCATGGGCATGTCGGCGAGGCGAAACAGAGATGTAAGAACTGGGGATGTCCCTCTCAGTCGCTCTCAGGACTGTCCCATAAAATTCTTCGGTCAAAGTCTTCTCCCGATCCCAACGCTTTCGCAACCAGACCATTGGTGAACATTGTCATCTGCTTCCATATCTCCAATGTTGTCCCTCCTCCTCTTCGCCGTTGCGGTGGCCGCGCAGTGCACGCTACCAAACACGCCCCTCTCCTCAACCATCACCGAGCCCTTTGGTATCCAGGTCCAGAACCCGGCGTTTCCCGAAATCCACAACCGCTACCTCTACCTTTGGGAGGCCGGCGGCGGCGACAAACACCTCTACCTCAACCCCGCCGGCGTTCCCGCGACGACGCTGACCCTCGACGCCGGCGTTCTCGAACTGGGGCCTCTCTTCGCCGTCATCAATGGCGAGGTGCGTTCCTGACTCGTCCCGCTTGGCGCCTTGCTCTAACAAACCCAGTACACGGCCTGGGACAACACGACCAAACTCTTCACCACGCAGCGCGGCGACCCTCGCGCCATCTTCGCGCCCACCCACGCCTGCAACCCCGACACGGCCGCCCCGCAGATCGAGCTCGCCTTCACGGGCCGCCAGACGTCCCCATCAGGCGGCCACATCTGCGTCCGCCTCGCATCGGGCAACAGGCACGAGTTCCGCTACTCGCCGCCGCAGAACCCGGCCCACGACCCCTCCCGTCCCTGCATCCCCGTCGTCCTGGCACTCACGCGTGACGTGCCGCCCGCGCCGACGGCAATCACAACAACGACGACAACTGCCGGTCCCCCGGTCGTCCCGTCCGCCACGGCGGCGCCGGCTCCCTTCCGGGACGTGACGGCCCTGGGCTGGCGGTTCGTCGGGTGCGCGCCCGAAGAGGGCCCCGCGGGCGACGGTCTCGGACGGACGCTCGGCGGGGCGCTGCAGGCGGATGACGGGCTGACGAACGAGGTCTGCGTTGCCTTCTGCCGGGGCCGCGGGTTCCGGTTTGCAGGCTCCGAGTACCGCCGTGAGTGCTGGTGCGGGAACACGCTGGCCGAGACGAGGGTGCCTGGGACGACGGTCGCGAGCCTGGCCGGGTGTCGGCTTTCGTGCGCGGGAGACGGGGCGCAGATTTGCGGAGGACGGGGCTGGATGAGTTTGTATGAGGCTTGTGTGGAGGGGGCGTGTGTGAATGCTGAGTTTGGGTCGTGAGGCTTTGGCGGCCTGGGTTTGGTTTTGAGGGAGTATGTGCCATGCTCCACGGCGTCAGATGCCGTGGAGGGTAGATAGTATAGTACCTTCCCCCATTTCACTGCTCCCTTCTTTTCGTTCCATCCGCTGATGCAGTTTGTTCGCCTCGTGATGTTTCTTAACGCTCATCGAAAGGAATCAATTTGTTGAGGGAGGTGCTGCCGTCATGATGAATTGTGGATTTGATATCCTTGTTCTGAGCAAAATGTCTCATTGTCAGAGCGTGAGGGTGAGCAGAGTGAAGAGGTCTTTCGCAGTCAGTTGATAGGTATGAGGAATACATCCGATTTTTGGCCCTCTTCAGCTCTCATATATTTCCTCTTGTATCCCAACCTGTGGCCCCGCAAGTGCCTCCTGACACTCAACCCCGTCATTACAGCTCGCCATAGCTGAAGATCTGGAGCAAACAACGCAAATTAGCAACCTCAAGGAATCACCGCTATTTTAGTCCATGCGCCATAAATCTCAAGCAGGTAATAGAGGCATGGTGTATAGTAAGCCCTTGTTGCGTGTCAACACGGGGAGTTTCAAAGTCAGCCGTCCGGGGGCTATAGAATGATCCGCTGAGGCCAATGCGATTCCAGATATACGTAATGCTCACGTATACATTCCCAGCACACGCTCCCTTGCACGTCATCCAGTATCAGTGCTGTGTGCCCATTATCCTGTTGGATCAAGATGGAAACTGCGGCGAGACGAGCCACCCAGCTGCGCTTCGTCTGCAGTACACCAATGCAAGGTGGTGGGTAGAGGAATTTATTCCAGGACTTGATTGATAGGGTACTCTGACTTTGGAATGACGCATTGAAATTCCTTGCGCGACCGCAGGGGAACGAGATTGTGTCCGGACGATCGGTCTCCGTGCCCAAGACATCGATATCGGCGACCCACGCGCCCTGGTGCTGGACGGAAACAATCAATTCGGGCAGAAAGATTTCCTGGTCGATTATTCCAGTACACTCCCAATCTAGTGGATTCTTCCACGTGGTCAAGGATAGGTGCAGAGATGTTCCTTCAAACGTGCTGACCTCCGCTCCATCATGTTCAAAGTGCGCCACATTGGATGCATCAAAGCCTAGCGGCCATATCCGAGGTACCCTGGGGATTTTCTGCAGCCATCCCAAACGCTGCCAGACGCCTTGTTAACCGTAGTGCGGCGAGCATTTGACATTATTTTCTATGTCGTACTTCCGCTGAAGCTCACGTAACCGGCTGGACTACGACGCTTCAGCGGTGTCCACGTCGGAGAGGGACATCGCCTCATGATGACACCATCATCTGTTAGTGACTCGTGGGTTTGGGTATGTCGGTATATTGCCATTTGCATGGTCAATACTGAATGGCGGCCGACTGCTAGGCCCCTCGAGGTCGTGAATCTCTCGGATCTGCTTGTTGACACTATGCGCAACCGGCATTCCCGCATCGCTGACCGTTACAGAGTCGCCCCGGGTGAAGAAGACGCTAATGACCGGGAGATCATTCTAGCCTTCCAAATGCGCCGCATCGGGGTCGTATGCAACATTGAATATGTCGAAGACAATGTGAGTTCTAATGCCCCATCTTTCTTTTGCAATATATAGAAAGTCCGTCGAGCGATCCGGTGAAAGCTGTATCTCTTCTTTCAGAAGACCCAGCGTGATGTTGATCAGTTTTTCAGGTTGGCCCCATGCTTCCGCCAGGTATGAACTTTTGCTCCCAACGCTGATGAGGACTCTCTTCGGTGGACTATTTGTTGCCATCGCTGCGGAGCCGTTGGTGGGTCACCATTCAACGATGAAAGCTTGCGTCAGATGCGATGATGGAAGGAGCCGTGTTTAATAATGGGCAATGGTAGGGAGGAGGTCGCGTGAGAAAGCCTCAGTCGGCACCTCCTCAAGCTTCGGGACGTAAAGCCTTTCTTACCTATACCTAGGTAGGTACTCTAGCTTACGTATGCTCCCCTAAGCTCACCCTCATCCCTTTAACGCCGAAATTTAGCTTTAGTACTTCGTAAAATCGATAGCTAAGTAGCAGAAAATAAAGCTCAAAAAATAAAAGGATATAGTAGGCAGTATATCTAGATGCATATATAGTACCTATATACTATGGGCACATTCGCTCTCAACTGCGTACAGAGCTTGTACCTACTGAGATCTACCTTAAAGCTCTTAAAGCAGGCGGTGATTAATGCATGTCTTGAGGCTAAATTTCGGCGTTAAAGGGATACAGACTCTCGTTTATAAACTTGAAGCGGTCGGGCTTACCTAACTTATCTTTACTAGGAGATGGCGAATACTTATAAAAGCTCCGAATATAAATTTGATTTTAAGGGTATCGATATGATCATGTCATTTTCCTGGACGGTGATTCTGTTAATCTCGCCTCTAGATTTGATGAGCTGGGTTTGTTCCTGCAGACAAGGATTTTTAGGACAGGCGACATCTGCGTCGTCAGACTGCGTGATGTCAAACAGCCATGTGACATGTCGCTTGCCTACCCATCCACAGGTCTCTACCGATGGGTAGTATTTGACTAGATGTTCTTCAAGGGGGCTCGTAGTCGCATACTCTCTGTGAGTCCCATGATAATATGCTATGATCCCCTCGTCACCTTCCAGCTGAAGAAACGAGCTGGTATGGCGCAAGTAGTCAATCGCGGAATCGATATCCGTAGAATGACTCAGAGCCCTCGTGATATGCTGATTGTTGAGGCCAAAATAGGGCGAGCTGCCGCATATTGAATCTCATTACTTCCATCAGCTCCGCTTTTACCGAGAAGGTTCGATCCCTTCTCCAGCCGTACTTCACGAGGTTTTGCTCACCCATACCAATATTAGTCACAGCCGAACAGAGACGAAGAAGCCAGGACAACCGGTCATCTTTTTCGTCTCTTAGCCTTGACAGACTTAGCTGAGAAAGGCCTTGGCTAAGCGTTCTGCCCAGTTCCTGAAACCAAAGCAGGTTAACCTCAAACTGTCTATACAGGACATTCCACTCGCGAAAGATGGCTCCAATCGTCACGAGCCACAGCTGGGGCATAGTCATCCGATTATGCATCTCCTCGTTGCTCGAACGGCAAATGGCGCGCCAAAATAGCGCAAGTGTGACAGAGCCAGTGACTATCGGACATAGTTGTCGGAAGGCGTGCCGTTGTATTCCAACCCCAGGCTGAGCACTCCCCAGCTGGGCAACAGCCCGTCTTAAAAAGACACCTTAGTCGCCTCTTCCCGAAAAACAACCATTTCCGGGCAAAGATGCTAAGAAGAGATGCCACGGATGATGGCTCGATCGTAAGCCTGCTGAGGGATGTTGCATAGCAGTTTCTCGAGAACTTTCATCGCGCGAGTCCACGTCAAGATGACCGAGGCGTAGGTCGACCCGCCCCTGGGTACGGAATAGTGAGATTGTTGGATATGAGGCCGAATTGGACCCGCTTGAACGCCATCGACTCACCAGCCCTTCTTATCCAGGACCTTACGATCGCGTCCCAGGAGGCCAACTCTGCCCGGGCGAATGCCTGCCTTGCCGCCGCCAGCATCTGCAGACTCAGCATCTTATTGTCATTCTGCTGGGCCTTGATTTGCTCCTTCCGCTCATCAATGAGCTCCACCCAGATCGAGATGGCGGATTTGGTCCCAAGCATCGGCGAGCATGCATGCGAGGAGCAAAACGCCAATGGATGAAGTTCCCAATGTGGCAGCAGCCCAAACCGACGTGCAGTCAGCGCCGATAAACGGTCGGAATGGTTCGTCTTCTTCCGTGCCCTGAGGTTTAACTTTGGGGAGCGCGAGGATCTCCGATACGCGTTTGCCGTACGCTTTGACGAGATTTGGCGTGTCGGGAATCACCTCATTGAAGAGGAAGCCGAGTTTGACGGTCGTTCTGTGGATGGATTCGCTCTCTGCTTCCACCCTTCTCTTGACGGTCAACGCCGAACCGACGGGGACGAACTCGGGCAATGGGTCACAGCGGCAGAAGCAGACGTCGACGTTCAGGTGCAGAAGAGCTACCGTGTTCTCATTCGTGAAGGATGCGCCGGAGAAACTGATCTTCCCGATTGAAGTCATCGTGTTGCAGGCCAGCCGGTTTCTGGTGACTACCTATTGGAGTTGATGGTTGCGATTGTGTTGTAAGACATTGAATGTGTATTCGAGAAAGCGGCCTGCTTTATCATCCAAGGAACTTGTTTTTGATTAGATATAGATAATGGGTACTTGGAATTAATGTCGATTCTGCGGTTCCAGAGGGACAATATCGTAGGCAAGGCCACCATCCCATGCGCACACGACTGGAAATCTGCCTTGAGTATGCGCCACATCGCTGTCTTGCTTGATGAGGACATCCTTGGCCAGGCTGCCGTCTCGCAGAGGCAATGCAGCCAGATCTCGATAGGCGGTGAGTCCACGAGTCCGATTCAGCTCGTACATTCAGAAACGTACCTCGACACAAGATCACCGCAACGTCAGCTAGTCTGATATCATTGACTACCTAAGCCACCCTGTCACTGTCTCTGCCTCTGGCCGCAGCCTTTCTCTATGTGCGGTGGCATGTATCAGATTAATCAGTCATGGCCTTTCAAGGCGCTTGATAGCTGAGTACCTGCCGTCCATTGACAAGAACCCTTTCAGCTTCTTCTCCTCGGCTTGGAAGTCCACCATCATGCTCAAAGCTTTGGTGATCTGGTTCTGCAGGCACAGAGTTGCAGGGTCGGCTGGCTCATTCTTGCGTAGTGCCAATTCTTACGTCTGGGGTGGTATCACAAGTCGCTCCGAGATGAAAGAGCCTGCCAACAACACTTTGACTGCCCAGTCATTTAAGTGGAAATCAGGCAGCCACAGAGACCATCAATCACAACAGAAAGGATGTAGCTTATGTTGACCAAAATCAGTGTCCTGCTGAAGACCTGATCCCTAGCGCTCGCGACATACCGGCGCGTCAACCCTGAATCCCGGGTCGCCGATCTCACGGACGCACCCGAGGGGCGCACATCGTCTCATCGCCCCACCATCAGCCCATCCTCACCACGACCTCGTGCCATGCCGTCTTCGCCCGCCATCAGCTTACATCCTTCGCAGACGAACGCCCAATAGCCCACTCGATATTTCTCATCTCAGTGACGTCGCTTGACGGGAAGCCATGGCTCAAATACACGGGCCGCGCGCCTCTGCCGTGCCACAACAGCATTCTCAGTGCTTCCTTACCTGCTTCCCTGCGTAGTTGAAAAACACCCTTCTGGACCCCACGATTGACCAAGACGGCAACGCAGGAGATATCAGCATCAAGAAGCACCAAGCCAACACTAAGCGCAAGGAAAGACCCCAAGATGCCGGCCAAAATGGCGCCCTCCCGTTTGATCGTCCACGTCGACCGCGAGGACCTCTACACGAATCTCGAAGCCCGCATCCGCTACCTGCACTCCTTTCTCGACTTTAGCAGCAGTACGTCCCGCCCCCCCCCGCAGCCCTTGCCTATGAGGTGCAGACTCTGCGGAAACAAGGGGGAGAAGAAAGGAAAGAAGCTGACACGCGCCCGCAGAGGACATCGAAGCCCTCACCTCCGGCGCAAAATACATCAAGGCCCTGATCCCAGCCATCGTCAACATAGTCTACAAGAAGCTGCTGCAATACGACATCACAGCGCGCGCCTTCACGACGCGGTCGACCGCCTCCACGGGGGCCCTCTCCGCCGAAGACGCCGCGTCGTCATCCGCAGCGGCAGCGGAAGAGCCGCTCTCGGAGGACTCGCCCCAGATCCTGCACAGGAAGCACTTTCTCCGCGCCTACCTCGCCAAGCTCTGCTCCGACCCCTCGCGCCTCGACTTCTGGGCCTACCTCGACAAGGTCGGCATGATGCACGTCGGCCTCGGCCGCGCCCACCCGCTGCACGTCGAGTACGTCCACCTCGGCGTCTGCCTCGCCTTTATGCAGGACGTCCTGACCGAGGCCATCCTGTCGCATCCGCGCCTCGCCCTGCCGCGCAAGATGGCCCTCGTCAAGGCCCTTGGCAAGGTCATCTGGATCCAGAACGATCTCATGGCCAAGTGGCACGTGCGGGACGGTGACGAGTTTCGACCGCCGGGTGACGAGGAGATTGTCATTGAGAGGGAGGGGTATCTGAACGGCAAGAAGATTCTGGACGGCAGCGATGACGAGGAGGAGGAGGAGGGTGCCGCACATGGTCATGCGCAGGAATCTCCGTCGAGGTTGCCGAGGCCGTCGAGCGCGAGTGCGAGTATTGGCAGTGCACCGACGTGCCCATTTGCCGGCATGGCAGCCGGGGTTGACGGACTGGGCATCGGGGAGAAGCCGGCCGGGCACAAATCTGCATCAGCGGAGGCGGCCTAAGCCACCCGCCATACGACTGCATAGCGCAGCATGACAATGAAATGTTGACAAGTTCATTATGTAGCCTATTTTGTATAATACAACTAATGACAAACACCATGTGAGATAGACATGTCCACGCTCCATGCTCCAAAAATCAATTTCACCTGCAAACCCATCATGTTGCCGACCCAACCCGACCCAGCTCAACTGAGCAGGTTAAGCACCCACATGGCACCAAACATCATCGCCACGCGCACCCGCAGGTCATTCGCCCACGTGTGCATGGCCGGCATCAAAGGCCGCACTCGGGCCAGGACGAGCTCGTCAAATTTGGAGTTGACGCTCCACAGCTTTTCCGACTCATTCTCCGCCTCCTGGCCGACTGTGCCGTCCGTCGCCAGCTTCACCAACGCTCCGGTAGCTTCGGCTAGGCGACTGCTGACCCACAGGAAGATGGGCACGATGAAGACAAGGTCTCGCCACCTGTCATTGAACAGTGTGCTGTCGCCAGAGAACATGCCTAGACGGAGCACGCCCTTGGTATCTGCCGCCAGGAAGAGATGGAACTGCAGCGTAAAGGTCTCAAGCGAGCACCTGCCCAACCACGCCGCTGCGCTCGAGGTGAAGAATTGAGCGGGCCCGGGCATGTTGCGGATGGCAATGAAACCGAGAATGGGAATCCATGAGATGTATGGATGCCAAGAGTTGTAGATTTCTTTGGTTGGGAAATATTCCCCGCAAGCGTGGTAGTAGCCATACATGGCGACGAGACCACCGACAGCACCAACATACGAGCTTAATGCCCAGGCACATGCGTTCGGGTAGCGAACGTGTGCGATGGCGGTCAGCATGCCGACGAACACGATGAAGGCGTCGAGGCCCACGCGGAACGTCCACTCGTGAAGATCCCACTTGATGTTGCAGAGTAGACGAAGAACAGTGAAGCCCCATTCAGGAACGGGCGATTTCATCATGACGACGTATGTGATTAAGGCAGAGATGGAGATTTTTCCGAGCAGCGCGCCTAGATTGTCGTTGTGCTGGCGGCCGATGGCGAGCGTGCTGTAAACCACCATGAACCAAAAACTGACGAGAGGAGCAAAGTAGTAGAACATGTAGTCTGTGCCCATCACGTAAGGAAGAGCGCAGCTGAGCAGGTTCAGGCGCAACATGGTAGCTGCGATGCGCTTGAAGCCGAAATCCTTCTTCTTCAGGAAGAAGATGGTATGTCCGTAGCCGGTTTGGAAAAGATACGAGGCTACGAGCAGACGGATGAAGATGTAGATACCAAGATCCTTGGAGGCGCCGGTCCAGTGGTACACAAGAATGGCGGCCTGCATCCAGCCCTTCCACTCCTCCGTTTGGTCCCGAGGAAGGAGAACGTTGACCTCGGGAGCCTTCTGCGGGGCGATGGTGTCAGGCTGAGGAGCAACCCTGGAGCGGCGAATGGTGAAGAGGAAAACGAGGGCACAAATGGCGGTCATGACGGTGAACTCATCGTACACGAACATTTTTGAGGCCTTGGCGAGAAACTGTGTGCGGTCGGCGTGGTAGCAGGCCAACAGAGCCGTCACAAATAGGCCGGTTTCCATGTCGAAGGGGGCACGGCGGCCGACGCGCGCCTTGAGGATGCCGTAGGTCTCATACACGACACAAGCAATGACATAGCAGGTGCCGAAGAACAGGAACATGAGCTGGACCAATGAAGGACCGCCATAGTTGGTGCAGCAGGTCCTGTTGTGGGGGTAGCCATCCATGGCATCGAGTTTGGCGTTGCAGCGGGCGTTGAGCAGAATGGTGGCCTTGGTCTCGGCGACCGAGTCAATCACGTGGAAGCCAGTCTCGTGACGGTCGACCATGGCGGCGGGTTCGGTACGGGAGAGGGCGGGGAAAGCCCAGAGCAGGTTGAGGCTGCGTTCATCGCGGACGCTGTCGAGGTACTCGTCCATCGATTCCACCTCGCCGACGTGAAGACCCTTGGGCCCCTTGCGCTTGCTGGGAAGATCGTCATAGTAGGGCGGGGCGATGGGCGCGATGAAGACCTCGTTGCCGATGCCATCACCGGGGATCATGGGGCGTTGGCCGAATTTGGGGTAGTCCTGCTGGCGCAGTATAGCAGTCACGTTGTCGATGGCCGAGCTGAACTGTTGCAGGGACTCCTCCTCGAAGTAACGAAGAGCCCACCAGCTGCCGAAGCCGATCATGGTCAGGGCGGCTGCCTTTTGCTCCGAAACGGGGACAGGGTTCTCGCGCTCGTGGCGATAAAGCTCGAGCTCCTTCTTCAGCTCAACGCCGTCCTTGTCGAGGTCCATGAAGGGATTCCAAATCTGGCGCATCCGGATTCCGCCAAACTCCATGTCATAGGCAGCATGTGTTGCGGACTCTCGGCGAGTCTTGTTCGCCAGTTCCCTGTCGAGCTGGTCACGTTAGCAGGAAGAAAGACGGCTTTACGCATGGCCGCTGGTAAATAACACGAGCAACAATCGCTGGACGGTTCACGGCAAGGGTGGACTAGCTAGACATACCAGACGGGCCATACCCCAGAAGACCTGGCGAGTGGTCGAGTCGCCTGAAAAGACCATGTGCCGGCCCTCCATGCAGCGGTGAATGTCGTCGCTCGTGTACTTGCGCATCATGCATCCATCTGGCTGCCAGGTGTTGAAGGGGCGGCGGGTGCCGTTGGCGTCAACGGGGTCGATCCACTGACCATCGCCAATGAGGGCGCCGCAGCGGTAGGGGTCAACCGAGAAGATGCTGTTGAGGAAGATTGTGACGAGGAATATGGCGGAGAACAGAACAGTGGCCACGCGGGGCCAACTGGAGTTGGATGCCATGTCGTGCGGAATGTCTCGGACGGTTCCGTTTGTGGCTAGCGAATGTGGGAGAAAGAGAAGAGGTGACCACGTCGAGTGTAGGTGATTGTAACTGGGCGGGGTCGACCGCACGTTCTGTCCGTGATGCGAGCTGTATAAATCAAAGAACGTTCTTGGTCAATGGAAAATGTCTTCAATGTGGCATTCGAGAATATCGGTTTGCCGGCGAAGAGAAAGTGTGCGCCGGCTTCATAAGACCAAGTTCGCTGCTTGGTGTCGGTCGGTTTCGCCCGGCAAGAGATGCGCTGTCCGGATGTACAGACGGGAAAAATAGAACAGCTGGCAGGTTGTCACACGAGCCGCGAGAAGAACGAAAGAAAGGACAGAAATGACAGATTCAAGAGGATCACGACGGACAATAAACAAGGGCAAAGAAAAAGGCTGGCCGTTCCCTTCGAGGTCGAAGATGAGGTAGATCAAAGTTTCGCTGCGCGCGGCAGGGCAGAGAAGAACATTTAACAGGCCAAGCACATGGACCGGGGGCATCATGGCCAAGACAGGCTGCAGGTGACTTCCCTGGCGTCCCTTGGCTTCATGGATGGGGGAAGGTACCAGGAACAGGGTAGTGGCTGCCGGAGTAAGGGGCTTCTGGGCCTGCCAAGCAGAGAAGGGAGCAGGATGATTCGGAGAGACGGCTTCTCGGCGGGGATAGAGGGCAGGAGCAGGCGTGGATGGAGAACAAAGGGTGGGTGGATGTCGGCGACAGCTTGGTCGAAACACCGGGTCTCCGTCTCCTGAATGCTTGTCCTACCTACCTACCTATCTACCTTGACATGCTTTGCCTTGAGGTGCCCGCCTAATTAAGATGCTTCAGGTTCCCAGGTACAAGTACTTAGTGGGAGATCCGCTGTGCTATCTTACCCGAGATACCTTACCTGTCGGTGGTCCGAGGGAGAAGCGTCAACCAGGCGTGGCAGCCACACTTCCCTACCTGGGTGGGTAGGTACAGAAGGTAAGGAAAGGGCACTTGACCCCAGTGCAGCCAACCACAACCAAGAAAGGCCGTTGGCTTGCTGCGCTGGAAGGAGGAGGGGACACAAACACAGCCAGCAGCAGCCACTCGGGCTCGTGACTCGCTGCTGTTAGCGGCGGGTGCAACCACGACCCCCCCTATCGTCCACGCTCCGCTTCCCTCTTTCCGATGACCTGTCATGAGCTCCGTTCTCCCCAGCGTTGCCTGGTCTAGAGCCATCGACCCGGACCCTTTCCGATGAACCAGGATTTTCTGTGACCTTAATCCTGATGAACTGCACCTTTGCAGTAACACTAATCTGGCTGGCCCGTTGTTTTTCTCCATCCAGCCCACAGAATGGCGGTATCAGATCCTGTTCATCACTGCCATGTCTGGTCTTCGCTGCGTAAGCTGTAAGCTCACTGTCATCCTTGGCTGGACACTGGCCGTCTCGGGGTGGGAAGACATGTGCACCACGGATTTTACAGACGGCAGGCCGTTCTCATCGCCAGCATGTGCTTCCCGCAGCATGGCCACGAATGTCTCCAAGTTCTTCCTTGTGTCATTCGTCGCCAAGGGCTGACCCGGTCCACCCCTCCTTTCTCGCCAGAATCAGCACCAACGCAGCGTCTCACCCTCGCCTTGCCAGCGCGCGCCCGCTCTGCACAGCACACCACGTCCATGGCACCCAAACCTCCCGACCGAAATTAGGATCGAGATGCCTTGACGATCAGGAAAAGCAAAACAACGAAGAATGGCTGCCGCGTCACGCACTGTCCTGTCCGTCCCGGCCGGATCTGCATCCCTCTGACGGCCTGTGTGCTCTTCCCCCTTGCCCCCTCCCGAGCCCCGACGATCCCGTCCACTGCATCAAATTCATCTTGCCCTGCGAGGCTGCCTCGGCGTCCGCCCAGGCCCCGCACACACTCGCTGCTGGCCGCTTACGCCCACCCCACCAGGGCCCGACCAGGGGGGTCGTTCTCCACGAGTGGCCACCAACGGCCGGCTATCCCCCCTGAGATGAAAAGGGACACGCTCTGGTGCTCCGCCCGCGTACGCAGGCCGATGGGGCAGAGTATCAGGCGATTCATTCTTTCTTCTCGGCCGCCCGTCCCTGGAAGCCGGCTTGAAGATGCCTACCTTTTGTCAGATGGTTCAAATGTCGAAAAATGATCCTTCAGTACGTTTCGGCA